TAACATAAAGGTCCCCCTTTGGCATTAAAGGGATAAATAACAACTGGAATTTCATGTCCGAATGTGCATGTATATATATACTTTGATTTGATCAGCGTCTGTATATCAATTTTGTCTAGATCTTAATTTTAACGACAAAAATAAAAAAAGTTATTTTAGGAAATTGTGTATTTTTTAATAGTTTATTTTTTTTCCCTGTCCTACAGGCTTCATAATTATTATTTTTTTACTGGAAGAATACATTGCACTTTATCCTTCAGTTATCAAAAGAATGGATACATATATCGTTTAACTTTTTCACTTGCCCCAGGCATCATAATTGATCTTTCGGATAGAGAAAAGGAGCAAAATATTATCTGCCTCATATTCCCAACCTATCTCTCGTAATTGAGTATAGTAAATACTGCATTAATTACCTCTCAATACTTAAACTAGACAGGATAGCAAACTAATAATCACCTTTCTCGTATAGACCGAAACACCAATATTTCTTCCTCACCAGTGGCAGCTTTACACTCTGGTATAGTGCTTCCGCTATACACACCTTTATTGCAACAATGTTTTCTGCCATATTTTTGTATTAATGATATAATATATGTACTGAGATAAAATTATTAATGATCTATAGACTGTAACCTCGTTTGAGCAGGGTCCTCTTCAACCTATCGTTCCTGTAAGTTTTCTTGTCCTATTTATAGTTAAATCGCCCCTCTCGTAATATTGTAAAGCGCTACGGAATCTGTTGGTGCTATATAATTGCAAGCAATAATAATACAAAATAGGAAAAAATGGATTAGAATGGCGCAATAATTATAATAAATCGATGTGACTATATATTTTAGTGGCAACGATGTAAATGCAGCAGCCCACAAGGAACTCTGATTACATAAATCCCCAAACCAAAAACCAAATAATGTTGTCTTGTGGTTTTATGTGGTAATAATGTGGTTTTAAAAGAATACAAAATAGCCAAATACAATTCCCTTTATTCCAAATACTACATATATTGTTCAGTGAAATCAGGCGTTTCCATTTTTCTCTCTTCTTGGGTTGCCTAAACTAGTTTCGCTTTGACATTTCTCTACTTCAACAATCTCTCTCTATTTTCATGGGTGCGCTCCGGACTGGCAAGGGAAGGGGAATACAGATTGGGTGGGGGGGAGCTTTCTTCCCCTTGTAGATCCTCTACCCGCAAGGGTATGGTTTCTACGTCTGTCCGCGTGCTGTATTCGCTGACAAGACATATTTTATGCACAGAATTTACATTAGTCAGGTCTAGGCTTTAGGCTGTGGTGGGTGTGTAACTAGCTGCAACACACAGTAAGAAGTATCTCAGTATGTACAGTGTTAAAAGCTGAAACACTCCTTGGTCAGGGGTACTTACCACCTCGGGGAGCCAAGACCATCCTCATTTTAACCCTTACTCTACTACCGTGGTGACCCATACACTTAACTCCACTTTACCCTCATGATTTACTAAACTACATAACCATAATCAACTCTATCACCTTCATGATTTCATGTGAGGTCATGCTTGGTACTCAATGTTTCAAGGTTCACACTGCATTATTATAAACACGCTCGTTCTGGCTGTTGTGCTTTCGAGCTTTTGTATACCTTATTGTGCACTGAAAATAAGGAATAAAAAAAAAAAAAGTTGAAACCCTGCACATACTGACTCCTACCACCATGACCGCTTTAAATCACTGAACTGGGCATGGTGGTTGGAGTAACCCTTTAACTTTGTTTTAAGCCCCCTTTGTGATTTTGTGTGTTTACATTTTTGAAAAAAAAAATCCCCCCCTCTACCCCACCTTCATTCCTTCCAAGGCTTCCCTATCTAATATATAAATACATTTAAAAAAGTAAAACCTGCAAAACTTGCCAATATTCCACTACCTGTACAGACTCCCTGCAGCAATCCACCTTAAGTCATTACGCTTGGTGAATTCACTGTTTCTCATAAAGAATCCATGACATGAAAATACATGTGCATGCAGCGAGCTGAGGCACCTTTCCATTCAGTGTTAGTTTAGGACAATTATATGTACTGCCTGCAATGATCTAAAGCCATGATTGATGATGCCTAATGTGAAGGCATTCAAAAATTAATCTTGACTTTATCTTAAGTCATCTCTGCTAATAGGACTTTTTCGAATCTCACCCTTGTTTAAGACCTCATTAAACACAGAATTGTAATGAATTGAAAAGTGCACATTCTAGGCAAAAATAGCATATTTGTGAGAAAATAATAATAATTTAACCCTGCTGTTGAAATCAGAGCTTCAATTTGTTAGCACTTCAGTTTTCTGCTACAAACTGCTGTTTAATAATCACTAGTGACTTTGTGTGCAGCTCTGAATAATCTAAAGAGGTAAAAAAAAAAAAACAAAAAAAAAAAAACACCTTGTTGGAGTAAAAGCTGGCAAAGCATTAAAGGATTTTATTAAGACCTGGAGGCTGCTATTATGCTGCACTCTTTATTTCCCTCAGCAGCAAATAAAAATAACATTAAATCAATATAAAAAGAAGGTATATCTTGAGGTATATCTTCCTAGCAACAGCCAATCAACATCCTCTTTGTGACGAAAGTAACTTCGCCACTGGTTGGAGAGGCCTGTTTGCCAGCCTCGTGCCCCGTGACTATAGCCCTGTGGTAGTCTTTATTTAAAAAACACTGTTTGTGCCTTTGTGGATTTGTGAAGCAGCACTTCGAGTTCCCGAACAACCGCACGAACCAGAGACCACCCTGGAGCGTGTTAACACCTATTAACAACTTGAAACGTTTCTCACCGCAGTGTTGTAATTGTTCGTCTGGGTGGCCACAATTCCTATGGACAACCATGAGGTGGTGGCAATCTTGTTTGCATTAACGCAGGCAGCGGTGTTTGGGCATGAATTTCCTGTAACTAAAATCCGATACAGAAACTCCCAAACACTTCTGGACTTCCATCATCGCGTTCGATTCTATTCAACTTAGGCACTGTTCAGTGAGATCATTCGTTTGGACTAAGGGAACAAGCTTCAGGGTAAGAACATTAACTCTGTTCGGTAGTTTGTTCGTTTTTAAACTACCGAACTAGACCGACCGCAAGCCCTGATTCTCTGGAACGGTTTTGGGCATGGGACCATGCCTGTGGTCTGTCCAATACATGACTTCCATAAAATTTCTGATCCCCTGAACTGATCTGGGTGATTTTTGGATATTTTGGTCACCCAGATCAGGGCCATCAGGGGATGCAATATTTGTGGGGATATCATGTGTTTTGGGGTACTTTTGGGGTTTGGTAAAATGTGTTTTTTCGGCCTGGAGATAATTGGGTTAAATACATTATTGGACTCTATCTCCCAGGCAGAGGGGAGGGATTGTATGCTGTGTGTGTGTGAGTGCCTTACATTGTAAATGTGTTATTGTTGGTTTGTAAGTTTGTGTCCCTGTCCCCAACAAGGTCCATGTGGGCGTACACCTTGCTTGGGGACTTGCATAAAAGGCTAGTGTGGCACCATTTAAAGAGAGATTAGTTTACCCCTTCATGAAGTCTTGGCTCATGTTTGGGGGATTGGAGAACTACATTCACTCTGGGGATTGCTATAATCCCTATACTCCCCTGAGTATAATCACTAGCTTGCCTCTGTACCATCTCCTCTTAACTTTAGGCTATGTTAATTCTGCTTTTCTCAACTGCAACACTGAAAGGGCGTCTCTCTATGAAGCTCCCTCCTTGTGTCCATCTGCCTTGGCTTTCAGCCACGTCCCCTCTTGTGCTTTTCGAAGATTAATCCTGTTCCTGTGTCACACTTGTGACTTCTTCTTAATTTATGTATGTTATCATATGAGAATACTGATGATTCATCAGAGGAATCCAATGACTGAATCAAAATTATATCTGTTACAGCTCTCTGAATTTGAATTACCCTAAACTTTTTTTTTTTTTTTGCTTTTCTGTACCACCATGGAGCTAATTGATTTAGAAGGTTGCAGACACTGCAGGGCTGCAGAACGCATGTCAACAAAAGTTTGCTGTAGGTTTGTCTAAAACCAAATGTGTAAGGTAGACACCTCGGCTCTTAGTTTCATTTGGAACTTTCTTGGTGTATAGGTATCAAAACTTCTTCTTTGATCCATCTTGCAAGGGTAGATTGCAGCTAAAAGTTTGGATTAGTCCAACTACCTTTCATGTCTATCCATGTTAGAGGTTTCCATGAGTAAGAAATTGTTTTTTTTCTGTTTTAGTTTTTATATATACATGAAATGCTGTTTTCTGTTTTTTGTTTCTATTTATATATGGAATTTTAGGTTATCATAACTGCTGAATGTAAGTTTATCAAATGCATTCATAGACTATATATTTGGGACTTCTACATCTGGGCAGTAAAACATTGGACATTGCAAGTGAAAACGCAACCACGAGATATGCAAATAAAGGAATCCATGAACCCCCAATGAGGATTCCAGATTTTGCCCTTAAATGCCCTTTTCCAAGATGGAGTCAACAACACATCCCAAGGAAGCCATCATTTAACGGCAAAACACGTAAATGTCATTCAGAGGGGGCAGAGCTTACTAGTTGAACCGTACGCCTGGAGCTGGGAACCTTGTCAAGAGAGTTTCATGAGGATTTTCTTCCCCATACAGACGCCCGCTACCCTTTGTACTGCGCTTGTTCGTGAGAAACGGTATATGCCGTGTTTACTCACCATCTGTTCTCGTAAGAGGCAGTAATTTTATTGATTGCACTATATATATGTTTTTTTTTTTGTTTTTTTGCTTTGTTACATTTGCACAGTATGCACAATAAACTTCTTATAGAAGCAATCCTTAATATATATATATATATATATATATATTTGTGGTCAGGGAAATTAACAGATTAAGCGTGGATTGTATTATTAGCTAAATTCGGTTGTGGTGTGCCAAAACCGAATGTACGGGAAGGCGTGTAAATAAAGAGGGCCCACCAAGGTAGTATTGTATAGATGTGAGAGTGGAGTGGTGGGTGGGGTGACCAAATGTCGTCGGCCTGGTATGGAGGTAAGTCTGAGTTTATATAGGCCGGATCATCCCCTCCCACAACTCCAGGCTCCGCCTTCCCATTTGTCGTCAGGGAAATTAGCAGAGTAAGAGTGGATCGTATTAGCTAAATTCGGTTGTGGTGTGCCGAAACCGAATGTACGGGCAGGCCTGTAAATAAAGAGGGCAAAACGTATGGGCAAACTACTTTAATACGTAACAGAAAAATTCCATATAAGAGTATGAGCATACGTATCACTTAGTTAAATCGATAAAGGCTTTCCTCATTTCTCGCTCTGGTTGAGGAATGTATCGGTTGAAAGCGGATGATTTCCAACGTCCCAATTTTTTATGATGTGTGCTGGGACATTCTGACTAGATGCTGCAGTAGCCGCACCTATTCGGAACGAATGACCGGTGAATGCTGATGGGTCATACCCCATTTTTGAAAACAGAGTATACCATGAATTTGGATTTGTGTAGTGGGTTGCCGTGTAGATTTAGTAGTGGGGTGTTCTCATCTTGTATCTTTATGCGTGGATAAAGATAGTCAAATAATTGTACGGGGCACCATTTGTTACATGTGGGGTATATTGGTATTTCGTCAGGAGGTCCCATTTGATTGGTTTTGGAGCGTCGTAGTGTCAAAACATAGTGGTCTCCAGTTTTGTTGAGGTCTGCCATGGTAAGCATGTTGGTGGTATGAGAGGTTTGGATAGTGGTGAACTCGTTTGGTCTTAAGAACCTGTAGAAGGCTAGATAAATAGCCATTTTTAACGTATTGTTCGTTTAGTTTTCAAACGGCAGTGTATCCGATAATGCCGAAAACTTGTTTGTGTTTATTGGTTGGCGTTTAGTGGGTTTTTGTACTTCGAGTTGTAAGATGCCTTTTTTTTTTTTTTTTTAATTCTTTATTTTTGCAGTGCAAAGAAAAAACATCACAGCAGGCGTGTGGTGCCCCAATAGCATTCCTCACTCTGATTATCAACATTTTTAAACAATTGAGTTCTCATAAATCTGTGCACATTTTTCAGTTATTTATATCTAGATTGTCCACGTTTATATTTACAATGCGTTGTATATCTTGTGAAGCATTCCATCTAGTCGCTGGCTTATCTAGCTGAACTAGGACACGTGAAAGAAGTAATATCGCTAACTATAGTATGAAACATTTAAAGATCCCGCTAACCTGACTAGGCCCAGGAAAAACATTGGAAAGTATTCAAGAACTGATCAAGCACAGCATGTTTTAGCTAATATAAATGTGATAAACATGTTGTAACGTTTAGTTGCGAGTAATACCACATAAGTGTTAATAGTGCCAACGTAAAATTAAAACACAATGTGGCCTTGAGTTTCAGTACTCTGGGTAGTCTCAGAGTCTATGGGCATAATGTCAGCCAATTCCAGAGTCCCGACTCTGCAAGACATCAGCACTGCTGCTAGGTAAGGGGGATTGTCAACACACCCATAACTGTAAGGTACATTTCTCAAGGTGGTACTTGAGTTGCTCTAGTGACAGTAAAGGTAGAATGGGTATATTATACCAGTTCATTTAAACGGCCAGTGCGGATAGCTTAGTTAGCATAAGGTACGTAGACTGCTATCCAAGATATGCTATACTCTTGTGCCCGAATCTTTGACTATAATCCCACGATCTCTCGTGCAACTATGCAGGTCATTAACTTAAGACCAAAAATTGCTAGACAGATGCGTCTGTGAGTAAACAGGCTAGTTAAATATTGAGTCTTGCATGCATTGAGAACGTTATACCACTGGGTTATGGGCCTAGACATAGAAATCTGTGCATCTGATTAAGTGAAAATTATAAGCAACTAAATAGACAAAGCTTAGCTAGTACTTCCTCATAGAGTAACATGTTAATTAGCATAGGCTGTGCTTATGTGGGTAGCTAAGGAAACACACAATTATTAAAGCTTTGCTAAGTTTTATGCGATGAGGCTTAGGCCTGACGTGACGTTGGCACAACTAACACTAGTTTTGGTAGAGAGTATAGTAACAAGCTCCCTAGCACTGCATCATACTTCTTATTCTAAATTATAACTTTAAACATTAAACATTCCGCAGCTGTGTGGGTGATGTGTCCAGCGGTGGCATCGACCTGGGTTGAGGGGGGCTGTTAAGTAGAGTTAGTCCTCGTGAGAAGTGGGCTACAGGCCCCTAGTATATGTCGAGTCAGCCATTGCCCTGGTTCGGAGGTGGCAGGGAATTCAGTAATGTCTCAAAGTCGGAGTGAAGAATTGAGTGGTAATGGCACTTGGAATGGGTCTCTTGTAAGTTGCAAGAGACGTACCATGCTCTCGAGAGGCCAGGGATAGGTGAGGGTGTCCTGGAGTGATGTAGTCGTCAAGGTTGTTGATCCGCACTGGATCCTTTTGAGACCTAGGTGGTCAGGAAGAGGGTAAAACTGCAGTGGGGCGTATTTGGGGGGGGGGGAGCTCAATATTAGCAATCCTTGGTTTTGTTGAGATTCTTCGGCTGGTTGGTCGGGCAGGTGTAGGGTACTGCGGGTGGTCCCGGCAACCTTGTAATCATTGCCGTAACTGGCGGGCGTGTGTTGCTAGGATTGGAGCGCGGGCACCTCAGCTCCGCTTAGGTGGTGACCGAGGCGTATGTGACCGGTGTGTTGTTTCGTGGTACAAAAGGGGGGCAGTTCTCTGGGTCCCAGCTGTGAGCCGGGGTGGTGGGGGCTCGGTGGTCCGCTTGGGAAAGAGAGTCCCGCGGTAGGCCCAAGGCCTGTAGAAGATCTGCTGCATCCTGTGGGCCGTGGATTTGGTGAGTTGTTTCTCCCTGCTGCACGAGGAGTGTGTGAGCTGACCTCCAGCGGTATAAGATTTTGTGCCTCTGGAGTGTGGCAGTGAGGGGTCTGAGTGATCTACGCCACGCCAGAGTTCCGTTCGAGAGGTCATTGGAGAATGTTAGCTTCGTATTCTCAAATTGTAGAGGAGTTTTTCCCCGGAGGTCGGTGATGATCGATGCTTTTTCTGATCTATTTTTGAAGGGAAGGATAGTGTCCCTTGTGGCCGCGTCTGGGGCCTTGGCAGGTTTCGGGATACGGAATAGATCTGTGGGAGTGATGGGTTTAGTTTGACCTGGGGGCAGTATAGTAGTCAGCAGGCGCCTGATCATGTGCGGCAATTCTGCCTCCGGTAGCCCCTCCGGGATCCCCCTGACCTTTATGTTGTCTCCTTCTTGCGGCGTCCAGGCGCCGTTCGAGCATCATGTTTTTGCGGCTCAGTTCTTGCACATCTCTGCAATGTGGCGATGGTGCGCTGGCTTTCTTGAGAGGAGTCCTCCAACACAGCAATTCGGCCCATGAGGCCCTGCAGTGTTCCCCTTAATGCTGTGACATCCTCAAGGATGTTCTTCTGTAAATCTGCTAGTAGGGTTTTTAGCACCCCTGTGGTCACCAGGTCGGCATCAGGGTCAGTCCTTGTTTTGCCTGGTTGTGACTTTGGTGTTGGGTCAGGGGCTCGGAAGTATTCCTCTTCGGCTCCCTCTGATCAGTCGTCCGAGAAGCTTCCGTGGAGCGCCGCCATATTGGCTTCACTCGGGCCGCGTGCTTGCCGCCACATTTCCCCTATTGTTAGTCCTGGGGCTGGTTTGTCCGGCATCTGTTTTTTATTTTTGCATCCCATCGTGCTTGAGGGGTTCCTGTGTGTGGTCGTGATTACTGGGGGTAATGTAGGCTGTATTTAGGCTTAATTTCTCCGGTTTTAACACGGAGCTCCAGAGTTGTGCGTCCGCTCGTCTCGGCTGTCAGGCTCCGCCCCCCGTAAGATGCCTTTTAAAGCGTTTCTAATCGGATTAGTGGACATGAAAGTGCTGTGACTGGGATATGTTTGTGAGGTGATATTGTATACCTGTGAGGTATAATTTTTATGGTATTATGCGCTAGCTTTAGATGTAGGTGGCAAAAAGAAGTAAATGCCACCATGGTGTCTAACAACCATGGGTTACTGATTTTGTACTCTGTGATGAACCTGTTGAAAATGGTAAGGGTTCGGTAAGTGCTGATTGCGCCTTGAGTGCATTTATTCCAGGATAATGGTGCTGGAACAGCGGAGGGTTGTATGGGTTTATCTCTGCCATGGGATGTTCTTGACAGAACACCTGAAAGTTAGAGCGAGACAGGGCATCAGCTGTGGTGTTGTGGTGGCCCGGTATGTGCTTGCATGTGAGGTGAAAGTGTAGAGTGGCTGCCAACCATACTAGTCTCCTGGTTATCCTCATTATGGTCAAAGTGGAAGATCTGCCTTTGTTGATAATTTTGCATGTGGCTTGTAATGATTAGTGGGACAGACTTGTGTTTTTCTACTGTCAGGAAGTCATCTAGATAGTGGATAACCACTGGACAACCCCCTATATTTAACTACAACCAACATCTCAGTCTCAGCGAATAAATCGAATAACTTTGGGCTGCTTTTTGCTTCATGTAGATGCCACAGTGACTGGCGTATTGGGAGCAGCTTGAAGGTATTGGAAATGTCTGTTTAACCTAGCCAGGCTGCTTTCCCTGCCTCCAATATCGCCTGTATAGCGTTGTCTACTGTGGCATACTGCAGGGAGAATTCATCTGACGGTGTGCGTGCGTTGAGGCTAGGTGTGTCAACAGAATAAGGAGCCGATAGGTCTATGATCAAGCGTTTTTTATTGTTGTACTTCTCTGTGGCAATACCTATAGGATTGGTACGCCAGCAGGGGAATGGGGGCGTATGGAATGGCCCGATCATGAAGCCTTTCTGGACTTCGTTATGAAGGGGTGTATCCACTGTGGTGGGGTATAAAGTTGCCGACTGTAGGTTGTTACACTTAAGCGTACCTATGGGGAGTGCAATTAGCCCACTGTGGAACCCTTCGGTGAAGCCCGTGATAAGGAAATTGACTAGGTGCGGGGATGGGTGAGTGACGAGGTAAAAGGCTAGTGTATCAACCTGTTCCTCCGTTAGTCATTTTTTTGGGAATAGACGATTAGGGCACATTGTTTTTGCGTGGGCTCTAAAGCAGATGGCAAAAACAATGTGCCCTAACCTGCAGGCACTGAAACTGCAACCGCCCGCGTTGAAGTTGTTGCATACCTGTGCCTTCCCCAGAAAGACTATCGGTCTACCCAATTTGTCCCTTAAACCTCTTTGTTCAAACGTGCTGGTGCTTGGTGTACTATAGCTAGTAGTGGGTAAGCTGGGTTCGATGGGGCACAAGTTGGTAGTGTGGGAATTAGACGAGCAGGTAGCACAAGCTAGAATAACTCAGTGTCCACGTGACTCCAGTTTATCCTTATATTAAACTGAGCTTTAGCCGAGAAGGACTTGTGATAGTCGTAAAATGTAGTCTACCAACTTGTGCATGTAGAGGTCTAACTCCTCTCTGCGTTGTGGGAAATTAAAGCAGATAATGTCTCTGTAGAGACCGAAGGCTAGCACAAAGTCCAGGATGAACCGGTTTTTTTTGTCCAACTTGTGGTCTTTAGCCTTAAGTACCACAGACACGTCAACGTAGTTGTACGTCTTGTTGTCAATTATGTCTTGGGACGCTATCAGGAGTAACATAAGATTCACATCCTTACCCTCTAATATATCCTTTTTTATATTGGGTGGGACCATGTGTGCAGGGGTGATTATGTGCGTGTCTGACCCCTGTGCAGGTGGCGTGAAAGTGGCATTACCTTGTGTGGCTGCAATTAGTATGGTGGTTGCGAGATCTGTGGAGTTCACGTTAGCTGGGGTTGAGGATTCCAGCTTCTCCATTCTCTGGTCCAAGTTATTGATAGACGCCAGCATTGCTTACATTGTGGTTTGGATCCCGGCTAGAGTATCGCCAATGCTGGCTTGCGAGCTAGGCAAAGGTAGAGTCGGCCATTAGTAATTTATAAAGTTCCGCTTTCCTGGCGGTGGCTGGGTACGAAATTCCTCTACACCTTAGTTCAGAGGCTATCTTTGGGATTGTCCATAATCTCATGGAACAGGGGCTTGAAGTCTGTAAATTCTCGCTTATGGTGGTTGTTATGGTTGGAGTAGCTGGTCTGGCCGGAGTACTTGGTAATGAGAAATCCTCTCCTTAATCCGACAGGTGAGACATGCTATAAATGACATTTGACAATGTATAGTAGTAACGTAGTGATTATTCTTGGGTTGTAACTTTATAAAGGCCAGACGGCAAAGAACTTAATTACATTTGGGGAGATGAGACCCTGCTAATTGCCAAGAGGTTGAATAGAGGCTCTAGCTATGATTTAGTCCTGACTGTTCCATAAATTGATGGCGGGGTATATGACTCTGAGCTGTGAACTGGAAGACAGAGGGGAGAAGAAGAGTGAGACTATCTACACCCCGATTGGGGTGTGCGTGACCCTATCAAAGGATTGGGTCGTGGGGCGTACAGTACCTCCGCGTGAGGATGGTTATAAGTCTAGTTTGTGACAATCTACGTTCTGATCTTGGGTGACTTATCAGTTAATGGTGTTTGGGCAAGGTGGCCGTGTGTACCTGTAAGCTAACGGAGGGTCTTATTCCGTGACGTAGTAAGTGAGCGGATGAACACAGTTGTCTGTGAGACCTAAAATAAACACTGTACGGGACACTTGGAAGGTTTTTTTTTTATATATATATATATATATATATATATATATATATATATATATATATATATATATATACCTTATTTTTAGTTTTCCTGCCTGAGGGTAAATAAGCGTTTTTTTGGTGTCTTTGACCTAGCGAGTTAAGGGATTTGAAGTGAGAGTTAACTTAATTTGACCTAATAAGGCGTAGGCATCTTATATTTTTTATGACGTGACTTTTGTAAGAGAGTTTTACCTCGCATCTGGTTTAACTATTTGTGTGACATATAGATCGAAACTTACAGATTTGTTTGTGGATTTGTGAGCGTACGATTGGTATAGCGTACCCGTCTGGGTGGTAATAGTATTTTGTGTTGATAGCGGTTCATACTGAAAAGAACGTATAAAGACAATATCTAAATTTAAGACATACTAAGTACTTTAGTTCCTATATACGTAAATACATGATATATAGGATTTGAGATTATAATTTATTGTAAATAGTCAGGGAGGGAAAAGATCACATCCTGTAAAAAAAACATTTGCAAAGTGTACGGCAAACCTCAATTACCATACTGAAATGTAACGAAAATTCTATTTAACCACAGCTAAAGTGGTTAAGCCCAACATATATTGCCTAAAACAAACAGCATAAACGTTTTGGGGCCTGTTGTAGGCTTTATTCCTAACCCTTGTGGCTGTCATGACGATTTCTGCCAGTAGATGGCGGTATAGCTTTAAGACTCTGTATGAGTCATGTTTCGTACGTTTTGTGTGCTCCTTTGTGAGGTTATGGTTCGTCTGAATCCTCAATGTGCATTAGTGGTTTGTGAACTTCGTCTATATTGACTTTGATCGTGCATTTTTTTTTTTTTAACCTTTTGTATGAGTTTGTTCGAATGAATAGCTGTCTGTGTAATTGACCGTTCGTATGAATAGCTGCTCGTGTGACTAAACGATCGTATGATAGCTGTATATGTAGCTAGTCGCATGTGAAGTAACCGTTCGTGTATAGAGGCATTCAAACATGTCGTGAGTAAGAACGTAATTCGTGTGGTTTGTACTCACTGTTTCCGGGTGCCTCCTGGCCGACCCGGAAGCGCAGCAAGAGTACCGAGGACTCAGCGAAAAGGGAGTCCCAGTAGATGCGGCTGACGGGAGCGTATTTTCCTGGGGTTGAGGAAGCGCTGGTAGTCAGAAATAAACACAGGTAGGCCCAAGAAACCACGAGGAAGACTGGATCTGGAAAAGCGGAAGTGACCAAATCATCGTTGGCCTGGTATGGAGGGAAGTCGGAGTTTATATAGGCCGGATCATCCCCTCCCACAACTCCAGGCTCCGCCTTCCCATATATATATATATATATAGAGATATATAGATATATAGAGATATATAGATATAATTATATATAATGCTTGAAGCAATATCAAGTGTGTGTGTGTGTATATATAGCTCCATTACAAAAATAGTGGTGCATTACAGGAAAACATTTGATTAATTTATTTGAAAACGATCTATACTACCTGCAATTTCCTTTTTTTCTATGTATATTGAGTGCTATCTACTGGAGGATTCATAAATTACGGTTGTATACATCCTACATTATAGCTCTACTTGTGATTATTTTAGTGGTTTATTTTGCTCTTTGTGCAGTGGGATTGCACTTAAGTGTATAGCAGACATAAATTATTAAGCCATAAAGTGCTTTTTATTGCCCAATATTAAGAGCAATATTTGTGTTAGCGCTTCAAAAATTGTTTATTTTTTAAAAAACAAACCCATTATGGTGGGGGTAGGGCTTACCGTGCAGAGGGGGCGGGGCTAAAGCTGCCCAGAAGACATTGGTTGGGGTAACTGCTACACAGGAAGGGGGAAGCAGTCCCTGCTTCCCCAACATCCAGACTCCAGGAGCTGCACTGCCTTCTTTTCAGCCCATAATGAATATAGGTAAGTGTGTGTGTGAGAGACTTCCTGCCTGTGTGTGTGTTTGAGTGACTGTCTCTCTGTGTTTATCTGCGTGTATGTGCCTATCTGTGACCGTCTGCCTGTGTGTGTGGCTGTATTCCTATGTGTGAGTGTATGACTCTCTGCCTCTGTCTGTGTGGTTGTGTGCCTATTTGTGACTGTAACTGTGTGTGTGTTTGTATGCCTATGTGTGACTGTAACTGTGTGTGTGTGACTTTCTGCCTCTGTGTATCTGTGTTCCTCTGTGTCACTATAACGGTGTGTGCATTACACTCTGCCTGTGTGTGATTTTTCGCACAGGGCGCCTAAAGGCCACCGCCGGCCATGGCTCTATCTGTCCGCCAGTTCGGACAGCCAGTGAAGTTATCACTGGGCTGTAATGTAAACACTGCATTTTCACTGAAAAGACAGTGCTTACAGCAAAAAGCCTGAAAGTAATGAATCTACTCACCAGTACAAATTCAATAAGCTGTAGTTGTTCTGGTGACTGTAGTGTCCCTTTAAACAGTGTGTGAGACAATGACTATCAGTGAGGGCATGTTGTCTGTTCATCTGCCTAGCCACACTGTCATCCCCACACCCTGTCGCCTTCCTACACACTGCCCCCCACACTGTTACCTTCCTACATACTACCCCCCTCTACGTTCACCTTCCTCCACCCTATCCCTTCCCTTCCAGCCCACAGGTAAGAGGCAGGGACGGGGTTAAGCCCAATTTAATTTAAACGGCTCACACCCCAGCACTTATCCAAAACTACATACACTGCATCCACCACACAAACTAGCTGCTACACTACACACACACACACACACACACTGCATACAATACAAATCACATCCACTGTTGTGGACAAAAATAGTAACCCAATCCATGTTAATAAAATGCCTATTTACTCAGCGTAATTACAATCCGCATTATTCAACTTTCTATGTGATTTACCTAAAATGGCCGCTAGGGAGTTTCCCTTTTGACATCGACTAACACCCTCATTAACAAGATGGCGCTGGAATCTGGGGGAGACCTCCAAGATACCAGTGACATCACACCCGGTAGGAAGAGCACTAAATGAACCACTTAACACCTAACCAATTATTGATGTATTATTCCATGTTATCTCTGACAATGCATATAATGTAATTTTGCTTTATAAGGGACATGCCGTCCCCTCAGAATAAACATTCCTCAAGTTTTTCATTAACCTGAAACTTGTGTCTGGTGTGAATTACTTTAGAAGCGTGCACGCATTACTTCTTTAATTTGGCCAGGGGCAGATACGCAAGATAATCAATTTATTGATTGATTCCACATCATTTGGCGCCCAACATGGGGCACCGGATCTCTGGAAAACTGGACCGGAGCGGACCTCCAGAAAGTGGGACAACCGGAGCCTGATCACCTCCTAAATACAGCGGTTTGCCTGTATTCTCCTGTTTTGTGTTGGTCTGTCTCCGTGTCCACTTCCAGCTTCCAGAAGGATACAAGACAGGTAATCTCTTATCGGGTGTTTTTTAAACGAACCTGTCGATTGTGTGCCTCCTGAGTGTATGTATGCGTGTGAGACAGCTGGTGTGTGGTTAATACTTTATTATCATTATAGCTTGACTGCCTAGCGGGCAGGGAACCGCCTAGAGAAAGGCTGGGAATTTTGTCTGCCCGGTAAAGGGCTGGGAACCGCCTAGAGAAAGGCTGGGGATTTATTATAGCTTGACTGCCTAGCGGGCAGGGAACGCATCCCCCTAGAGAAAGGCTGGGAATTTTGCTGTACTGTTCAGAGTAGAACAGGGTTCATTTACTGTTTAGTTGTTATAACAAAGAACAGTAAACCTACGAACATAATATTATGTTTTCTATTCAGTTGTAGCCATAGTGTGGGTACCCTAGTTGTGTGGTTTGTCCTTGATTCCGGATTATGTGCGCATCTCTATATCTGTGACTCCTGTAAATGTCTTCTGATTAGTCTCTCCACGTTCGCCTTTTCCCTTATTCTCTACCTCTCCTGTACTTGTTGCCCAGAGATGTTAGTCACCCATGCTCACCCGCTCAGATCCGTGGCCACCATCTTAGGTGGGCGGATCCTGTGACTAGCCTACGTTTAGGGAAGACGCACGGGGATCAATTCCTCGTGGCAGTCGAGCACTGTAGACATTTCTTCTTTTTCCTCTCTCTCTCGGTCCCTCTTACAGGGAAAGCCTTGTTTTGTAAAGCCTTTTGCCTTCCAAAGGCTATTTAGCTTGTGATATTGTTAAGGAGAGAGCAGGAGAAGAGGCTATGTTACAGATAAAGAATATAAAGATTTGTGGTTTTCAAATGTCACCCAGTGGTAGATTACAGCCAGAGTTTTGGAGGAAATTGCTTATTGATAAAGAGGGCTTGCTATTGGATAATGGGTTGACGGATGGATCCTATTATTACTCCGTCCCCCTCCTGCCTACCTCCACACTTCCCATCATTACGGTCCACCTCCCTCTTCCACCTTCCCTTGTTGCTACTGATACCGTCCCTCTGCTACCTCCCTCTATCATTTCTTCCGACACCAACCCTCTCCCATCTTCCTCTGTTGTTCCTCCTATTCCTGCTTCCCTCCCACCTTTATGTGTTGCCTCCCCCCGACGCCCCTTTAGGTCCTCTCCCTATCGTTCCTTCTGCTCCTGTTCCCCTCTCGCCTTCACCCGTTGTTCCCCCTGTCGCATCCATAACCCCCTCTTCCCTTGCTACTCCCTCTACTCCTGCTCCTGCCTCTCCTCTCCCTGTCACCCCTTCTATCCCCGTTCCAGATTCCCCTACTCTTCCTGCCTCTAATCCTGTTGTCCATCCTTCACTCGATCTCCCGTCACTCATTTCTGCCCTCTTTGCTTCCCTTGCTACTCCCTCTCCTGCCTCTCCTCTCCCCATCACCCCTTCTGTCCCTGTTCCAGATTCCTCTCCTCTTCCCGCCTCCAATCCTGTTACCCCTCCCTCACTCGATCCCTCGTCACTCATCTCTGCCCTATCCATTCATCGCCCGCAGCCTCATCCTGTCCAGCTCCTGTCCCCGCCTCTCCCATGGCAACTCCCAGTTACCCAATCATGATCGTTGGGCCGAATGAATCTACCGTGTCGGGACAGCCTCATGCTGTGGGTGCTTCTCCTGCCGCGTCAGGCTTTCATCCAGCTACCTCCCAGTTAGTTACTCCCCAGGCCATCGCTGTTGGTTCTCCCGGCTCCGATGCTCCAGCCGCTCAAGCCCCTAATTCACCAGATGTTGACAGCTATCATGGTCTCCCATTCCCGGTCCCCCCCGAGGATGACAATGTGCAAGGGCTTAGCTCATTCCGTCCTTCGAATAATAGGGTTTCCAAGAGACAGGCAACACCAGCCAACCACGTTCCTGCTTTATCACTAGTGGAAGGGGCTCCCCTGATGTATGTTACATTCAACCCATCCCAAGCTGCAACCTTAGTAACCTCTCTCCCCAACCTTGAGAAGCAGCCCATGCCTTTCTTCCGGAGGATTGCCCAGATTCGTAAGACATACTCAGCAGCCTCGCGTGATCTGTATAGTTTTTTTGAGATCAAGGCTGGGGACGCCTATTGGCCAATTATGGAAAGGAGTTTTAATGTCGCTCTGCTCACTACTGATATGTATTATCAGTCAGGTATTACATTCTGTGAACCGCTTCGGGCCTGGGTCCAAGATAAACTAGCTGACCAAGCCACTTCTATAAATGACATTATACAAGACAAACTCGAATCTGTGGAAAAATATAATTCACGGTTGACTCAAACGTTCTCCGATCTCGGATTCAGTGCATATAATAAGGCTCATACCCAGATGTTATCCGCTGCCTTTGTTGCTGGCCTTTAGGAACCCATCAGGAAAGGCTTAGTGCTTTCTCGCCCCAAATACAGAATTATTCCTTTGGTCACTCTCTTACTGGTTGCCAAGGGCCTAGAATCTGTTCTACAGCCACCCCAAAGGAAAAGTAATCCTCTTATGTTTTCCATTTACAGCCCTGCCCCCAGACCCGCCCAGGTGCCTCCAGGTTATCCCACGCTATCCACCCTGCCAGTTGCACAGGGGCAGCACATGACACCTAGGCCTCAGACCAGGGCATGCTTTAATTGTAACCAACCAGGCCATTTCCGGAAAGATTGCCCACACCCCAGGGTGCCTAGACAGCCGACCACTAGACCCCCTATCTATTTCAATGCCTCTGCGGCCACGTATGGTGGTCTCCAACCAGGTTACCCACCACAGGTATATCCTCAGGCACATGTATCGTATTACCCTCCTCATAAATATGCCCAAGCTGTCTACCAACCCTCCCAATCTAATACTCACCCCCCACCCCGCAACTACGTTCTCCCTTCCCCTGATAGTTACGATACAGATGATTTCCAACAAGATGAACATCCAGCACCGAGTCATTATCGCCCTACACGTCAAAACCATCAGGCCAGCCACTCCACCACACCAGGACGTCATTACACTGGCCCTGATCAATCTCATCTAGACCTTGTACAATAGGTAACCGGCAAACCTGTGTCTAACATCCCTGTCATGGCAGTGTCTACAGGGGACCCCTAGCTACAGTTGTCTTACTAGGGTCATCCTACTACCTTTTTAGTTGACACAGGTGCAGCCCGCAGTGTTCTCAGAGAACAAGACCTGCCTGACCTATCTTATCTATCCGACACAGATGTTTCTTGTGTAGGTGGTACCCCCAGAAACAACCCATTGACTAAGCTCTTGCGGGTTGGTTCTGACATTCTCTCTCGCTTCGTTGATTTAGCCACCTGTCCAATTAACCTTTTAGGAGCAGATGTTCTGTCTCGTCTTTAAGCTTCTATCTCCTTTAGACTGTTGTCACAGATTCCTCCAACAGCTAAATTCTTCACGGTGGTTGATCTTGCAAATGCCTTTTTCAGCGTGCCCTTGGATCCCTCTTGTCAATATGTTTGCTTTCACACACGATCGTCAACAGTATACTTGGATTGTCATGCCTCAAGGTGCACAAAATCCCCCAACCCAATTCACCAAAGCTATGTCAGCTGTCCTAGAGCCCTGGCAGAAGTCCCACCCAGATGTGGTCCTGCTCCAGTATGTTGAAAATTTTTCTCTGTGCGGATGATTTTCCAACTGCTGAACAGAATTCCGACGATCTCCTTTGTTTCCTCGCTGAAGAAGGTTGTAACGCCTCCGAGACGAAACTCCAGTGGTGCCGGCCCTCTGTGGTCTACTTGGGACATTGCCTTTCCCATGGCACCCGTCACCTAACGAGGAACAGAGTACTTGCCATTGCAAATCTCTCCCTTCCATCTAACCATCAAGCTCTTCATGCCTTCTTGGATCCCTGAGGCTTCTCAACTCATGCAACCCTACGATGCTTTAAAGACTGAACCTTTTTCATTGTCTTCTACAGCCCGCACCTGTTACCATGCTCTTCAAAGAGCCATCTCCTCTGCCCCTGCTTTGGGTCTCCCTAACTACCAACTACCGTTCAAACTTTTTGTCTCAGAGAAGATGGACCATGCTTCAGGGGTCCTTACTCAATCCCACGGTTCCCGTCAGCGCCCTGTTGGGTACTTTTCCTGCATGCTTGACCCCGTGGCCAGGGGTGGTCCTTCATGTTTGCGTGCTGTTTTTGCTGCAATACTGGTACAGCCTGGACATGAATCCTGATGTTCACATGGAACTTCAAGTAGAAAAGCCCACAGTTCCACATGATGAACAGCCCTAGAGCCAATTACATTACCCCAGGTCCTGACCCATTCTATGAAGAAAAATTATTCAGCCTGGTGGAAATACACATCACACTGACAGACCTGTTCTGTGACTCCAAAGGAAACATTGTTATCTTAGTCTACCTGCCTATGGAGGTATCACATTTATATCACCATTGGGAGGTGGCTGTTCCTCATATCTCTTTCACCAAGTCTCCAGATCTATCATGGAAAGAACTCTGCCCAATGGCCAAGACATGGAATACTGCAACTCAGGAACAACTCACAGTGACGGGGGTCACTAAAAGAACCATAAATTGCAAAACTGTTGGTTACCCTCAATATCACACAGAGATATGTGAGGACATCCCTCCTACAGAACAAGACCCGGACGCCCCTCATGATTGCTTTGAACAGATGAAAATTGAAACAACCCATCTCCCAACAGTGCACGAGGCTGCTCTACCGGACCCTGACTACACTCTGTTTGTGGATGGTTCTAGATTCGCAGTTGAGCAGGGACAATATCATACCGGATATGCAGTCACCACAGAGGACCAAATACTCCAAGCATCTTCACTCTCATCATCTAAGTCAGCACAAGAAGCCGAACTAATAGCCCTTACGGTGGCT